TTTTTCACTTGGTGGGGCTGGAAGCTGAGCGAGCCCCCAGCGTGAGGGCTAATGAAACCAGCCACACTGCCGAACCGTTACCCCTCAACATGTGCAGTGAAACAGGGACGGGGGGGACATGAAACCTGATGGCATGGAGAGCCGGGAAAGGACAGAGGGGAGGCCACGGCAATGCACGAGTCGCCCTGGAGACCGGAGGCCCCGTTGCTGATGGTGGTTTTTACCTCTGCAGGGAGCAACCTCCATAGCAGCCAGCTCTGAGACTGCTTCAGGGCCCAGGGAGACACATCCTGCTCCCCTCAACCTTGCATCTCCCGTCAAATGTGCACTGAATGTGCAGGACAGTGTTGGAAAGGACAAATTCTGGAATAACCCACAACCCTGCAGGCTCCAGCTGCCTGCACAGGATGCAGCACTTTTCATGTCAACCGCATCCTCCTTGTATCCACCCCGGAGTGTGGCATCGGCTTCCTCCACGTGCCGTTTCCATACCTTGCCCAGTTCATTTCTGTAGGCAAGCAGGGCTGCCTGTGTCAATGCATTTGCTCTTTAGACCGGGACCTAACCAAACTGTTTATCAAAACCCTAACAGACTGAACCCCCTGCCCAAATCCAGGCTGCAACAAGCATTCAGATGCTCCAGACCTACTGTTGATAGGATGAAGACTATCATGCCTCTGTGGCCTTGCCCAGCTCTTGACCCCCAGCAATACTTGGCAAGATCTAGTACCTCAAATCAAAGACAACCCCTTGCTGCTACAGCCTTCCCAGGACTACTTGGCCCCGTTTTAGTATACATATTCAAAACATGTCCTGTGCACTGCCCAAGTGCCCATTCTCTCCTCTGCTCCTACCCCAGGGCTCAGTGTCCCTCATCACAGCACCCAAGAGACCACAGCCCAAGACTCAGCTCAGGGGTGGATCTGAGCTCAGACAGACTTTCCTTTCCCTTGCTAGTTCAGCAGCAGCTGAAACCTCAGGAGAACCAGCTCAAGAGAGGCAAACCTACAAGGAAAACAAGCCAAAGCTAGCCAGACTCACAAAGGGAACCAGAGCTAGAAGAACTTGCAAGAAACCGCTCTCATAAAAGCCTGACGATCATTTGTAATCAGTCTCAAAGCATCCCTGGCTCTCCATCTACATCTCACACAGACTGGAACATCACCTCCCCAAATACACCCACTTTGCCGAGCAATGACGGGACAGAGGACAAAGCCTGGAAGAACACCAGAGTTACCCAAAGAGAACAGCAAGCAGTGCTGAGCTCCTGGGTAAGGCAGGGATGCTTTGTATTTATTTTAACTCGTGCTCAGTGGAACATGACACCATCAAAGCTGCCTGCGTAGGTCCGCACACTCCCTTATATACACACAGGCGCTTCCGAGCCCGGCACGGACTCTGCGCCCCAACCCCACTCGGGTTACAGGGTGCAGACAGCGGGGGTGTGCCGAGACACCTTCCCTCCGCTCAGTGGTTTGCATTGCCACGGCTTTCTGTTGGGACACATGGGAAGGAGCTAGGAAAAGCATACAGACCTGGATCTGCACTAAAATCCTCCCTGGTCCATCCCGGGGATCCCGGCACTCTGCTAGGACTCCCCTCCAGAAGGGGAAGCAGCTGAAGGGCACATCAAGCCAGTACCCAGTGGCTGTCCCCAGCTCATCGTGGCACTGGCAGACCCCTGACCTAGGGGGACAGACCGAGGGCAGGGCGCGGGGTCACAGCCATAGCATCGTTCGCGTCTTTGCCGTGTATTTTTAACGCCGCTTTGACTCACGAGGCTCTAAAAAGCACACAGATTCTCCAAATGCTTTTTAGCTCTTCCACCAAACACCCCTGCAGTCCAGAATAGACCCATCTACTCCCCTTTGCAAACAGGTCCCTGTTGCAGCCTCCCGAGGAAAGAGGGGAGATGTGTGTTTCCAGCCCGTGGGAGGGAAGCGAGAGCTGGACAGAGGAGGGGTGTGGAGCCGGAGTGGGGCGGCGGGTTTGTTTACAGGCACAGACCCAGCAGAGGCTGCTGGAAGCAATCCTCTGCCCTGGGGTTGTTCCCGCTCCCAGCGAGCCTCCCAGCCCCTCTGCTTCACCCGCCTCTCCTTTCGGCTCCAAAAAAGGATCACTCCCTGTTACATAACGGGATGAGCGCCACACGGATGCAGGCTTGCACACACGACCTCCCTTTTACTTAACAATACCTTTTTCGGTCATACAGCCTTCCTCTCCCCGGCTCCCATCAAACTGACAGTCAGGGCAGACGGATAATGCCTGGCTCCGGCTATTTCAGCTACGGAGAAGGGGGGAAAGAGGAGTGTGGTGGGATGCTCTGTGCAGAGAATGGCAAATGGAGAAGGGTAGGGAGGTCCCACAACCAGAAACAGTGTGGTCACCAGCTGTCACTCAATGTCACCGCAGGGGATGCTGTGGGCACCGCAAGCCCACAGGAGAAAGTCCCCAAAGAAGAGGGGGATTCGCTCTCTGGAGAAGCTGGACCTTGTTCTTGGTGTTTTTCTGTTGATTCTTCTGCTCTAGGATGAGGTGCACTCGGTGCAGAGTGGTAGCAATGCCCATGAAGGCAGCTGCCAGAAGGCTGTGGGAGCAGCATGCTCCTCGTCAAATACAAGCTGGCAGAGGAGTATTCACCCCACAGCAACCCCCTTCCTAACACCAAAAATGCCACTAGGACACCTCCTTTCCACCATCCACCACCTAACCAAGCCACTGACAGGAACAGAGAAGGACCTTGTCTCATGGAGGGATGATTCCTACTCGTACTTTGTGACCAGCAATGGTTAGAGACAGGATGTGTGCCCATCTGCTGCCCCATGTTTGTCCGCCTGTTCTCAGATGCCTTGAATAGCACATGCTCCCAGAACAGCTTCTGGTATTTTCTCCACCTGTAAAGGGTACCCAGATGCAGTGCCAGCCAGAATGCCAGTGCCAGGGCTGTGCCAGGTCTGGCCGAGCAGCGATCAAGTTGCAAATACTTAAATGGAAAAGAAATGCCACCAAATCCACGCTGCGTCCCTGGATAGGCAGCTGGCAGCAAGTCTGACCTAGAGACTTCTCGATCTGCTCAGGACAGCAATGGCCACCTGGGCCAGCCATAAGTACAAGTCTCAGCCACCCTTCTGCGTAGCTCAGTGACGGGGTGCAATGGCCAACCAGCCTGAAGGCCCCCCCATTCCCAATTCTCCTCCACTGTGGAGATAACTACATGCCTCATCTTGAATGCCCACCTCGGGCACTGTCTGAACTCTGCTCTTGCACCAGGTCACAGCTTTCATGACAGGCAGACGCTGACTACTCTCAGGGCAGTTCCTGTGCCCATTGCAGTATCCCACTGAACTCCAGCCCTCTACATGGGCTTACAGGATCACCGAGATGGGAGAACCTCCACCCTAAGACTCCTCCCTTTCAGGAGACTGAAGTGCTGTCCCAAGCACAGCCTACTGGGTTGTGGTGGCAACAACAGCAGCAGAAACAGCAGTTCCCTGCAGCAATCCATGAGCAACGCCATCCTCCTGGCAACGGGTCAGTTCACACTGTGCAACCTCCCTTTCACACCAGACCTGCGGACTCCTGACTGCCCCAGAACAAGAGCAGAGCCAACATCAAGATGTGGATTTCAGCACAGACATGTGCAGGCCCAGGGTTAGCTCAAAAGGTTGTATTTGCACCCTGTCTTGATTAGGACACTGAGGAGTCACGGGACTTCCCAACATCACCTTCAGCCAAAAGTTTGCCTGCAGCACACGTGGGTTCACCCAGACCCAGTGAAGCGAACCCGCTACAAACACATTCACCCTCATGCTGCTCCACGAGCACAGCTTACGGAGCTCCTCCACCTCCCAGAGCCAGGCATGTGCTGTGTGTTTGACAGCTTCTCTAGTGGAAAATACCAATGCCACGTGTTGGTGCTGCAGGCTCCCCGGGTGACCGGGACACAGCTTATTAGGAGGTGATGACGCACATATTCAAGCCTTCTGTGCTAACACACAAGGATTGGGTTCCAGCTCATTCCCCAAGAGACCAGAGCCCATTTTGGAGAAATGGGAGCAACGCTCACCTCCGCCCCCCTCAGGAAACAGGCTCAGGAGCAATGGCCAGCAGCCCCTGACCTCAAAGCGCTCCAGCAACCTCTGCTGAGGGCAGCTTAAATTACCAGCTCGGTTATAATGTGCTGCCCTGCACATTCTGACACTGGCTTTGAATGCCTGAGAGAGAAGAAAGGGTGCAGGAGCCGGAAAAGCACTGCTCCGAGGCTCCCGCTAGCCAAAGTCCTTCCGGGAAGGCTTTCCTTTATCTCTAAAGGACCACATCCTCAGCTAGTGATAGTCACCGACCTACACAAGAAAACAGAAATGCTCTCTGTTTGTGTGTCTTGGCCTGGTGCCTTACCACACAGAGGCACTGGCCTCAGAAAAGCTTGGCAAGTACATACCAGCTGGAAAGGAAGCCTTTCCCTAATACATCTGTGGGTCACTGCCCAAGGCACAGGCACTACTGGCCCACCACAGACCAGAGAGGGGTGCATCGGTGAGAGCAGAGGCCCTGGGAGGCTGCACTGCGAGCTGTTACTTGACAAGTCCCTGTTCCCTGTGCCTGTTTATTCTCCTTTTGTAGAAAGAACAAGCTGAGCCCCTGGGCAGCAAGAAACCAGGAGGCCAGTGTCTCCTTGGAGAGCCAGTGAGCTGGGCACTCCTGCCCTTTTGTGAAGCAAGAAGCCTCCCATCCCCAGGGCCGGATCTTTCCTTTCCCTTGTTGTTAAAGGACAGGAGGCTGCCCACTAGAGTTACATTGCTGCTCACGGGGAAAACAGCTCCTAGTGCAAATCTCTGAGATGTTTACTCTACATACAGGCAACACCTTCTTCACAGAACCTTGTTGTTTGATGCAACAGAATGCATTTATCTGCATTTGGGCAAGAGCTCCATTTTAGACTGTAACTCCAAAGGCAATGCCACCTCACAGAGCTGCGAGGTTGGTCGCTGAGGCCTTACCTCTGAATGAGGGTCCCAAAGAGCAGGTGGAAGACCTTCTGGATGTTCTCTGTGCACAGCCAGCTCCAGTGATCCATCAGCAGCAGACGAAGCACATCCAGGGCCAGGTCAGCCAAAGCTGTCTCAGAGTCTGCCAGGAGGAAGAGGAGGGTCAGATGAAGAAGCCAACTCAGTGCCTAAGCAAATATGGCAGAAAGCATCATCCACGACTCACTCTTTTCTCCCAAGAGCCTGCTTCATGCTCTTCTCGCCAGCCTAACACCTTGTGCCGCATGCAGATGACCTGCTGTGGCACAGCCAGCCTGGGGAGCCCGCCCTCCCAGTCTCCTTCCCTGACCACTCTCCTTCATTTCCACTTTCATCCAAGCAGCCCCAAACTCCCTACCAAGAGATGCACCAGACCAGAGCGTGGCTGCTCCAAGTGCTCAGTTCCTTCCCAGTTAAACCGAGGGGTCGTTAAACTCCAGTCCATGCACAGGGATGGCAGTGTGCCCAAAACAGGTTAGAAAGAAGGCAATGACTGTAGCCAGGAGAAAGGTACGTTGCTGAGGACTATTTTCCTAGTCTTCTCCAACACTTTGCCCTCTTCCAATGCGCAGTTTTCCAGGTGCAAGACTCTGGTCGGTGTCTGCAGGCTGCCACCATGTGGCGGGTCCAGCAGGAAGACAGATGTACCACATCTGGATAAACCAGATGCATCAGTTCAGACAACCATCCCCCCCCCACATGCCCACATATCCCCGGTGACACAGGCCTGGGACAGCAAAACCTCTCTCTGATCCTCAGGAGGATGTTAAAGCCTACAGCGTAAACATATTTTACTTGCTAGAGAATTACTTTTATGCTGCTTGGCCTCAAAGCATCCTAGGTGTTACACAGAACAAGCTTACCAATGTACCACAAACCTGCCTGAGACAAGCACTCCTAGGCCAGCACCCCAACTTGAGGCTACTGCATTGGCTGTGTTGGCATAGTGAGCTCCTGCATGGCAGCTTCCCCTACCCTGACTTTCCCCAATGCCTGATCTTTCAACCACTCTCTGACTACAGAGAGCTGACGAGACTGTTCACACACTATTTCCTGCTGGAGATAAAAGAGATGGATTCTGGACCCCAGCACGTCTCCTTCCCTCCTCTTCCTCTCCCTACTCGATACAAGCTGGGCTAATTAATTCCAGGCCATTTCACTTGGAGAAGACAGCGCATGCGAGCGCATTTGCCGCCTCTTGCTCTGGGCCATGCATAAGTTACTCCTCGCCTGCTTTACCCTTTGAGACTTGACTTCCCTGTGCAAAAACTGGAGCAGGCTGTTTAGCTTCACCACAACCCCACAGAAAGGGAATTGTCAGCGAGCTCTGTTTATTCCTGTAGCATCCAAGTCCCCTTCCTCAGAGAGCTGCTGGCCAACCTCTTCCAAGAAGTCACCCAGCGAGCAGATATGGACACTGGTTGCCTTTTTAGCCAGCTGCTCCCCAGACATTCATTCCCCTTACCCTGCCAGACCAGCTTGCCCTGTCTTGGCTCTGAAGCATCACAGACCTGCAGGCATTTGACATAATTTACGTTAAATGTCCTTAAGAGTTCAGCTAACTTGGCCTGCCTATATCTCTTGTGCTCTGCGCAGAGCACTGGCCTCCAGTTCCAGTCCTGCTCCCTAGCAGCCCCAAAATAAGCCCCAGAACAACCTCAGGCGTGTTATAGGCAAAGCTGGTAGCACAGGCTAGGTTTCAGAATACCAGACTCATCCTGTCACAAGCACGTGCTTTCAGTCAGAGCTTGCCAAACTTGAACCACTGGAGTGAAATTTTTGGAAAGTTCCAGCTGATACAGTTCAACTATTCCAAGAAAAAGATTAGAGAACATATTTTTGCTCGCGTTCAGGATAATATTGTAACAGGTCTGAGAGGCCTTAGCACCCCTGCACTTCACGGAACATCATACCTTGAACTGGCATTACATATCTGCTATTCCCACCAAATCTATCCAAATTTAACTAAATATTTAACTGAATCGATTTTATAGTGCGTGGACATATCAAGGCTAACTTGACACTACCAAGAAACCACAATTTGGCCGTTTTTCAATTTCTAAGAGCTTGATTTTACAACATTGGCAGTTCAAGCAGCGTGTCCTTAAGAAACTTATTTCTGCAGTAACTGTATTGAGTACACTAAGGTGAAGATGTGACACAACTGAGCCAAGACCCAATTTGCTTCCAATAGCAATAAAGACCACAGCAATCACCTAACAGGACTGGAAAAACTCAGTTTGCCTTCCCTTTAATCAAGGTGTAACAGGCAGGAGACCAGGTCCTCATACTGAAGACCTTGCAAGCTGAGCCTGCAGGTGCTGGAGCTGCTGTAGGGTCAAGGGAGATACGGTGAAGCACTAACAGAGGGGCTGAGCTCACCAGAGTCTGTGTCCGGATGTGCCTTCTGCTCCGATGTGCCCAACTCATCCATATCCTCCTGCACGGTGCTTTCCTTAGCTCCCTCGCCTTCGGGAGCTTTGCTGGGGACTGCTTCCAGCAGCTTCTCCTGCTTCTGGATGAAGGATTCCATAGCAGCCAGTGACAGGGTGCCCGAGACCTACAAAAGCACCAGGGTATCAGTAGCACAGCGGTGAGCTGCACACAGCCAGAGCTGAACTGATATGAGATCTCCGCTACCCAGAGGGCCTCCCACCACCTTGCTGGCCAACAGCACAACTGGGGCTGCTTATTGCCTTTCTGCAAAAGACCTCGCATGCAGGAACAAGGCTGCAGCAGCCACAGCCCCCGTGCACCAGGATTATTCCAAGCTGGCCCCCAAACAGGGCAATGATGAGGATCACGAAAGGACTGCAAGAGGGGTCTGAACTTACAGTGCTGCCCTCCCTGATAGAGTACACAATCCTGTTGTGTGCTTCACTCACACTCAGCACAGGAGCAATTTTACTGGATGAGAACCTCAGCCTAGACCTGAAGAGGAAAGACATGGCACAGTCAGTGTTTTCTCCTTAAGCTGTGAGCGATGAGTTTCCCAGCCTCAGCCAAGAACCTGGACCAACTATCTTTGTCCGGTGTCATGTCCAAGCTGAGAAATCTGACTAGACCTAAAGTGGTCCAAAAATCATCTGCCCCTGGGATAACATGGAGAGATGGCAGTAAAACCATGCAACAAAAAGCATTAAAGTGCTTTTCCTCAACTGCACATGGGCCTGGCCAAGGCTTCCCAACACCCATCACATACATACACCTTCTTTGGCAGTTATCTTATATACAAGCTTACAGGCAGATGTAGGCATTTCTGTTCAGCGAGGCGTGAGCACTGCGGCACAGGAAAGCGTTCAGAAAAGCCTCTGAGATGAAACATACTCAGCAGGATTGTGAAATCCAATTATAAACACGCACACACAGAAAGGAGGATATGAAAGGGCGTTTGGGATTGTGGGATAAATTGTAAAATAGCCTGTTTATCATTAAGGAATGTCCTTTTCAGCCAAGATGCTTCAAAACTTGTACTTTTTTGGTTTGTCTTTTTGTCCAAAGCAGTTTTTTCTAGCAAAACATCACTTTTCCGGAAAAAAAAAGCCATACTCATGCAGAAACCTTCTCTTCTTCTGTAAGGGAAGAATCACGGATGAGCACAATGGGGCTGGTCACTGCCAGCAACACCAAATAAACATTTGATGCGCAACATACTTGCAATGACCTTAAACACTACTCCTAAATAAATATTCAAATGTTCGCTGGGCAAGGCAGCATGCCACTGTGTGAAACACATGGGAGAGGCAGGAGCAAACCTTCAGGTAGACAACTTACAGCTGTATTTTGCCATGACTCACCACATATCCTAGGTCATGCGCATGTTTAAGGGCAAAAAGCAATTCTCCAGGAGCATCAACATCTTTGCCAGCAAATGCCACCACCTCACAGCTCCCTCAGGAGGAAACCCACCTTTTGTGAAAATCTGAGCATTCTTAGAAAAACCTTTATCCAAACAGGAACTCAAATACCTTTGCTCAGTATGTGAAAGAGAAAGCAATTCAGCTATGGTACAACAGCAACGTTATCCACAACAGGTAAAGCACCAAGTCGGTATTTCCCCACAATGCAGTCAGTTTATGTATGAAATCCATGTTCTGCATAAAGCACAGGGAAAGCTGAAGGAACCCTTACTTGTTAGCCTTCTTCCCATCTGTCTGAGACTTCCCATCCACTTCAGACTCGCTGAGATCCTCCGTGGGGCTCTGGGGCTCTGACCTGGGGAATGCCGTCTTCAAGGTGTCCACAATGGCATTGACAACGATCTGCAAAAGCCAGCAGTGCCATCAACTGTTGAATATATTCCTATTCCTTGAATAGGAATTAAGAGTTTTCAGGCTTGCACTCTCTCTGTTTTCCATGACAACCCCCAGGGCTCTTTGAGATGGGCTCTGACTCTTCCTAGCTTTATGGCTTTCTGGGCAAGCTGAGCCCAGCTACACAGAGAGCATTTGAGTTTTTTGGCTGCTACTGCAGCAGCATATATGTAGACATGGAAGCCTAAGAAGCACGCCTAGGTGCAGCCAAAAGCAGTTCAGATAAACAGTTTCCCACTTGTCTACCTTGTCTATCCTGGAGACAACAAAGGGCTTCTTGACGAACGCGATCCTGGCGTCAGTGTTCAGGGCAAGGAACTCCTGCACCTCCTCACTGTTTGCAATCTCGGGGACTGCACACAATTGCTGCAAGGGAAGTTGTAGTTTTAGGTCTTTTTCAAGTCCATTTCCCAGCCTGATCATGGAAAGTGCAGGTGGAAGAGATCTGACATGCTCCACCATCTGTCAGTACAGAGCTGTCCCGAGTACTCCTTTCTAGCTCACAAGGGACACACAAGCAAGTATCTCACCTTCAAGAAAGACTCTAGCAGACTTTTTCTGGCTTCCACTTTATCGCTGTCCATGTTTCCAAACGGGAGATCAGGGAACAGTTTCTTGGGGCCTTTGATATCTACAAAGGAAACAAAGCCATTAGCAAGCTTGAGAAAACTGGAACCGTTGTTTCAAAAATCTTTATGCTCCCATGCTTTAGACTATGACTACACACTGACCAGCATCAGTCCAAGATAATACGCCCCTCAGACCAGGGTGCCTGAATCAGACCTTAAATCCATACAGAACTGGTGTTATGCTGATATCATATCATATCATCCGTGCCTTTAATGTTAAAGCAGCAAGAACACCAGTTTAGCACAATGCCTCTAGATCACTCAAAGAGCCTGAAAATTCTCAACAAAGTGGTTTTCCAGTTAAAACCCCAGCCCTGTCTAAATCAAAGGATTATGTAGGACCACGCTAACTTCAGTGAAGTTTTATACATAAGTAGCATGAGAAGAAACACCATTTTCTTTTTAAAAAAAGCTTACATTCAACATATACTACTCTACTTTCTCATATGCAAACAAGAGGCTTGCAGACGCCAGTGTTTCTATTCATTGCTACAGTGCAAAACTACAAAAGCAAGTGGTGTGATCTGAACAGCAACCAGAATGTTTCAAAACTCTGGAATTTGCTGCCAAAAGAAAAAGTTTCTCCTCTAGCCAGCTTTGCAAAGAATAAGGACATGAGCATCACAAACAGCCCAGCACCCAGGGTTGCACAGGCAGGACAGGATACCCTCAGAGCAGAGGAGCATAGACCGGGGTGAGAGGGAGAAGTATTTTCTCAGGAAGCTAATGCAGGCACTGACTTTTCAGGAACTTGCGGAGCTCCGGTTTCTCCTCCAGTCTGGTCTGGAGGTTGAGGAACTCCCGGTAACGGCGGTTCACGGTGTGGTAAGCCATTTGCTGAAGGCTGCCTGCGCTCTCACTCTCCAGGGCTGTCTCATACTGAGGAGTAAGGCAACAGTCAATAATCCTTACAGGCCCCAAAACAATCCCAATGTGCTGTGGTCCCTGTTGGCCCCACAGTCCCTAGACCCCATGGAGGTCCCAGCCAGCAATTCCAGAGGTCCCAGCCAGCAATTCCTCAGAGTGACCCTTCCTGGGGAACAGGGGCTGCGCAGCATGCAAATCCCTCATAATGAAGCGAATGGTGACAACGGGATACAAAAGACTCAACCAGCCCCATATGACCCTTGGCCAAGAGTGGGAACCCCTACCCCACACCCGAACAGCTACAGGGAAAGCACTGTGCCTAATATTCCCTCGCTGCCAGACAAAATTTGTTGCTTAGCCACACACAGCACAAATCCTCATGTCTAAATGCCAGCCCGTGCTCCCCTGGAAGAGCAGGGATCTTGGAAAAGGGGTGACAGCTGGGGGGAGCCTTTACCTTGACGGTGTAGAGGGTGTAGGGGTGGAAACCAGTCCCACTGTGCTCTCGGGCAGTGATGGTCCCAGTTATCCGCAGGTTCTGGATGACAACCGGCCCATCGGGGCTGCTGAGGGGCTCAAAGCTGAAGGTGCTGATGGAAGTTGTTGGGGAGGATGAGAGCAGGGGCAGTGCCTGCCCCGGGTCTGGGGGGCTTTGTGGTGGGCCCTCTGCTGCTCCCAGATCTTTCCCCAAGCTGGAGGGCCTCTGTGAAGAGGACTTTTTGAGGACAGCCAGGCTTTCTTCTTCTTTCTCAACTGCCGGGTCAATCTGGATGTCAGGGCAGGAGCTCAGCGCAAAAGCAGAGGTGGGAGGCATGCCAGCATCCAAGCTGGTGGCAATGCCCTCCTCCAGGTCCCCCATGCCATCCTCAGAAGTGGCCAGTCCCTCCAGCACAGCAGATGCATCCTGAAGGGGTTCATCGAGGAACTCCCCTGCGGGTGATGGTGCCAGCAGGTCTGTGTCCTGGCCCGCATCGGGCGCAGGGGACTCCAGCTCCAAGCCCTCGCAGGGGAAGAGGGAGCCCAGAACTCGTGGGCGGAGGAAGGGCTCCTCTGTGTGGCACAGCCCGCTTGCCATGTCCTCTCCCTCCTCACCAGCAGCCCCTCCCTCTCGCCCAGGCACCTCCATGGCCCTTGGGGAGGGGGGAAGCCCGGCCGGGGCAGTGTCCGTCTGCACCGTGAAGGGCAAAAAGTCAGGCACTGGGGGTGCAGGGGGTGGCTCCTCACCCCGGGGCTTCTTGGAGAAAGCCCCAATGAGCAGCAGGTTGATCCAGTCAGGATCAGCCATCTTCCTGATGGCTGGCAGCAGCACGTTGCAGGCGACCAACTCCACTACCACAAAGCGTCCTGTCCTCATCTCCAGGTGGGGCTGGGGCACCAGGACCCTCAGCAGCATCTCCACAGCAGCCCGGGCATAGCCCACCTCAGCTGTCGGGCTGCAGAGGGCAGGGTGCGGCCCTGCCAGCCGGCTGTACTCCCGCCACAGGGTCCGGCCGCCCTCCGGATCACCCTGCAGCACCTTGCAAGCCTGCAGGTAGGTCTGCAAGTGATGCCCACAGAGGAGGAGGAGGCGGTGGGCTAGGGCTTGGTGGTCCACTCGCCCCATCCGCTGCCTCAGCTCGGCAGCCAGGCCCATCATGGCCTTCTCCACCTCAGCCTCGAAGGCCGGCTCGCTGCTGACGGTGCGGTACCAGGAGGCGACGAAGTCCCGCACCACTTTGTGGACAGTGCTGGCGATCTCCCTCTCCAGCCGCCCCTC